TACATCTAAACCAGTATAGTCTACAAAAGCCAGACTCCCAGCAAATACATTTTATTTATTTTATTTTAAACACCAGTTGGTAGATTAGCAACAACTTTTTTGCAACTTTTGAGCAAACCTTTTTAGAACAATAAAACAGAGAGACAAATTAGTTGCAAATAACAATTATAACAGTTCAAAAACTGGCTAACAGTTTTTCTGAGTGGTTTTTCCTGTTTAAAGATTTTAAGTTGTTTTAACTTTTAGAATTTATATTAGTGTTATAATTGTTCAAGCTACACTACATAAAACACCATAAGAACTTCTGTTTTTGTTTTTAATTGGATACTTTTTCATTGTTTTTAAGGAAAACTTTTAATTTTGATGGCCAAGTAGTCTACAATGAAAGGTTGGTCATCAAGAATTGTATTCTGGAACATTGAAACTGAATCAATGGTGATTCCTTTTTCAACAGAATGTATCTTTCAATCAAACAAATACTCAAGTTAGAACAGTTGGCTTGCTGCTACTCTTTCATTGAATTTGGAAACATCATATATGCACAAGGAAAAGGTGCACCCAACTATTTACACAAATCTTCAGTTTACAGGGTGTTCCAAATTAAACTTGACATTTCCCAGCAGACTACAGCAAAAACTGTTCATCAGACAGTCATGAAAGTTTTGGAATGCCTGAATGACATGATGGAAATTTTTTTAGAGCAAGAAACGTTAGTTACAAAAACACCATTCAGCTTGAAAAAGAGCCCATTAGAGGGCTCTTTTTCAAGCTGAAATAGTGGCATATTGGCCTGCACCAACACCAGACTTGAATTCTTCTCAATTTTTAGCTCTGGAGCTGTCTCAAACACTTTGTCTTCTGTGATTCCATAACATCACTGTCACTGTCAGATGTTAAGTACAGCATAATGTGCCATGTGCATAACATTCCAAGGCATACACTGCATGCAACTGTTGAACATGCTGTTTTATGCTTTCAGATGTATCAGACCAATGGTGGCCATCATGTTTTGAACATGTTTTGTTCACATTAGACAGATAACTTGTGTAGCTCATTATTATGTTCTGTACTAAGCTGTAATATGCCCTGTAGTGGTGGTTTTTGAAACTAACTAGAAAAAATTCCTATTGTGAGGTCACATATCTGCCCGTAATATCAGAATATCTGAGCAGTTCTGAATCATAAGTGGGTGCATTTGGTACAGAGACAAACTCCACCAATTGCCTCAATTTATTGTAACAACAAAAATATTTTTTACGGAAGTTCTGTTCTGCTAAACAAACACTAGAGGAAATCATCTATAGTTCTGAATTCACAAGAAAGTTCCATGGATAATGCTAATCGGTGTTGATTACCCCGGAGCAATATCATAGAAAGTCCTCGTTGGAGTTGTAATCTTTTTGGCATAGTCGTTAAAGGACATGAAGCTAGCAGTTCTGGGAGACAAAACACAACATGAAATTAGGAGGAGAAACTCCTCCATGTTCTTGAAATCTCAATTTTTATAACTTTTTCAGGTCCCAGATCAATCACTTCAATTAGTTGCTTTAACTCATCCCCACTTTCTAATTGGTTGTCACTTGTTATCAAGTGTAACACGATCATAACCACCTAGATCACAGTCAAAATCATCTGTCCATTCGATCCCAACCAAAGATGGTTGATTTTAGGATTTATATTATTCTATTGTTAAAATATGAGAACTAGTTTCTTTTTTTTTCATTCTATTCAAACACATCCTTTTATGGCCATATTTCTACCTTTTAACATCCTTTTGTGGTCAATTTCTACCTTTTAACATTAATAGTTTTGTAAAATTATTTTATAAATTACCTTTTACATTTTTGTATGGTTCTGGTACAGTTTTGGAGCCTCATACCCCGAGCTGTGGAGTCGGTAAAAAAAAAACACTCAACTCTGACTCCTGATAATTTTAGTAGGCCAACTCCAAATCCAGCAAAATGAAATACCAAATCATTTTATGGGGGGCAGAGATACTCATAGGAGGTTACCCTACTCTGAACTCTGAAAGGAGCCACAGGCATTTACCCAAATACTTTTATAGTTAGTATTTTTAATATTTAACTTAAATTAATATTTATTTCTATAAAAAAATTAACTTTTAACAAATATTTAATAAGAGGAAAAATGGAAAGCAATAAAATTCTACATCTACATATCTTTATTCTACAGCTTTTGCACTTCAATTTCTTCTTTCCAGAAAAGTTAGTCCAACTAAAAAGTGTAAAATCTAGCTATTTCAGCCCCTTGTTCAGAAAAGATCAATTAGTCTGGCTCATTCAGAAAAATAGAGTACTTATTTAGAGCAGAGATAATAAAGGAATGAATCAAAAATATTCAAATTCAATTGGGTCAAAATAATTTAACTACTAAACACAAAACTACAAAGAAAACTATCGATACATATTTAAATTGTATAAATTAAATTGTTGCATTTTGTATTTAAAATAAATGAATTATAACAAAATACAAAAAGATTTTTAAAAATTAATAAATATAAAATATATTTTCTTTCATTTAAATGAGAAAACTAAATTAAATTTAAAATGCCGGAGTTGGAGTTGACACATTTTTCTCGACTCTGACTCTGACTCCACAGCCCTGCTTATACTATCATCTCATTAAGGCAATCCGAAACTTTCATGACATTCTGATGAATATTTTTTGCTGTAGCCAGGTGGAAAATGTCAAGTTTAATTTGGGACACCCTTTACTTTAGCCTCAGAATTAAAGAGCTTACAAACAATGGAAGAAAAGAATTGAAGGCTTTAGGTCAAGTGGCTTTTATTAAACTTCAATCCATTTTATAGTTAGAATTTTGATTAGACAAAAAAATAACAAAATCTTTGTTTTTTTTAACTGACTAAGGTAAACAGTATAGTTATTGGCCATTTTGAATTTAAACCTCTTTAATAAGAATTTAATAAAAGCTGTTGTAGAAATATTACATGGTAATTTTAATACAAGTTTCTGCTGTCAGTAGGTAGCTCATAGGTATGACATCAGTCTTGCAATACACTGTAAAACACCTGGAACTATACATGCATGCTCTACTACTATAATTTGTTTGTATCCTACTTTCATAATGCACTCAATCTCTTGTATATTGTACACTCTGCCTGGTTATGCTATGCAGAATTGGGCATGTACTTTGTACTTAATAAAGATATGAATGAGTGTCAGTAAAAAGCAAAAAATTCTGCAGATTTTTCTGTCATTCCATGTGGTCAATAACTATTCAATTTTGCATTTTTGTAAAACAAGGCACATTTTGGATTAAACAATTTACATTTGTAATTTCTAGATGTTGGCTACAGAAATGTAAGGTTCCAGATGAGTCCGAATCCATTATTAAATTTTATAAAAATGCCAAAAGATAGAACTAAAGAAATTCTTATGAAAATAAACACAATGCGAAAGTAAACAAGCCAGTTCCAAGTGCGACTCCAACACATGTTAAGCAATAGATTAGTGTTGAGCCAGAGAGTTTGAACTTTGACACTGATGCTCGTATATGAAAGATCAAAGTTAAATCGAATCAGGTAAAGGAGGAGGTTTGATAAACAGAAAACATTGCGTTCAATCATTAAGATTGTAAAATATCAAGAGAAAGGAAATAACAGGCTAAAATATGAGCACAGGTTTCTTAGTTCCATCAATATCTTCCACCAGAATTTGAGGGATGGTGTCAGGTTGACTGTCTAAGACAGACCTTTCTTGTGACCCAAACCAATCTTATTTCTACCTGGAAATAGGGGACGAGATCAATCAGGAAGTGATGAGAGGAGTTGGAACCAATTAGAGAAGGAAATTTGGAGACAAAATCCTATAAAACCCCCTAATTTCAAGGTCAAACAGTAGTTTTCTTATGATTTGTGCCGCCAGCTCAGACTCGTGTCAACCTTCTTTTCAAGCGACATTGATATTGCCCAAGTTCCTCCTGTTGCCTCATCTTCTCTGTCCAGTATATTCAGTATCTTGTTCACCCACCTACTGAACACTGCCCCAGGGTTGCTGTTGGACTAACATCTAGGACACTCCATCACCACCTGTTCCTCAAACTTTTTCTTTCCAATGACCATTAATTGCAGAAAGAACTTTATATATAAATCATATGTAAGTCAAATTAAGTTTGAATAAACGGGATTTTTGTAAAGGTGCCTAGCATCAGTGTCTTTGCCACCACCACCCTTGTCTATCTTGACATGAGATTAAAGATCTCCCCTCTCGGTCGGCAAACTCACAGAAAGGTAATAAAAAACAAATTAATCATTAAGTATAATATTTCCCAATTTAATCTGTTATGTCATAGAATTTTTAAAATAAAAATTTCTTCTGCAAGTGGCCAATAACAGTAATGTTTGCCCCTATTTACCAGACTACTGTTACAATTATGTAAAAAATATTCATTAGGAAAAACTTGTTATCTATTGACATCATTTTACTATATGATTTTAGTACAAATAAAAAAAAATCTTGCACAAAATGATAATTTGTATAGTACAGTCGACCCCCCAATAACACTGTTGATTATTCTGTTTTATATGAATTCCATGTTGTACGAGTCACTTAGATTTTACAAATACGTGAGCCGTTTACAGCCCGGCACACGTATTTATAAAATCTAAGTGACTCGTACAACACGGAATTCATATAACATGGAATTATCTACAGTGTTATACGGNAACTAAAATTATCATTTCTGATTATAAAACTTTTTGATAGTTGACAATATGATGCCAGAATTTGCTGAATTTGAAAATATTGATATAATGAATATAAAATAAAATTATGTTCAAACTGATTTAAAAATTGAAGATTTCATGTATAAATATGTCAAAAAGTCTATAAATTTCTTAGTTTTCTTATTTTTCATACAAATAAAAAAAAAATTCTCTGAAAATTTTCAAGGTGAGTTGCCACTCTGTTTTCAATAAATATATCATTTATTTTTACAATAAATTTACTTAATTTTACAGCTGGAGGAAAATTATTGATTTTGTGTGATTTATTTTCACAAAGAAAAAATGAATTGTCAAGAGAAGAAAGACATGAAATTATAAAATATTGTAAATCAAGGTAATTTTTACTGTAAATAAATATATTTATCTTCATCTGACAAAAAAAGATATATTAATTTTAGGTTACCTGTATTTATGAATCAATTACATAAACTGCTTGATGTAATCAAACAGTCATTTGGAAATTTGAAAGCAGGTGAAAGACAAGAGATAGCATCATATTTAGTACCTGAGGTCAGTTTCCTATTATGGTTAATAATTGATTCTGGAAGCAATAATATATTTTCTATTGTTAAATATAAGATGTGCACAATAATTTAGGTAGATATTTTCTTGACTAATTTTAAATTTAATTAAGTATATATAAAATTTCCCCAAAAATGCATGTGGACAATTCAATTTTTAATAACTTTTATCTTTATTTTCTTAATTTTAATTTAATAATTCTATAATTTAGATTTCAATTTCATGTTATAAGTTAATATTTACTCTAAATCAGAAAATTATTAAATAAAGATAAAATTTATTAAAAATCAAAGTGGAACACCCTGTATATATGTGAAATATATTGAAGAAGAGAGATATGAGAATTACAAGCAGTTTAATAATAAGATAGATGTTTAATGATTATGTGAATGGATAGTTTACAATAGCTAATTTAAATAACTGATTGGCTCTCAATATGCAACATTACATTGAAAACTCACAGCAATCCAGGCCCAGAATGCCTCTTCTTGACTTTGTATGATATATTATTATATTGTGCTAATTATGAAGTTCAAGAAAGGGTTCTTGTTGGCTTACTAAGGCTAACACCAACAAAAAAAGTCATGTGCTTTAGATGTTAGAAAAATTAATTAATTTTCTCATGATGTAATTATATACAGGTACAATCAATGGATTTCAACTTTAGAACAGTTTATCCAGCGGTCACCCTTAATTCGATTGTTGACAGGACAATTACACAAAATATGACAACACTGTACAAAAATCAAGAATACGTATTACAAAAAGAATTTATCACTAACCTTTAATACTAAACTTACACTAAGAAAGGAAAATTGAAGATAGAAGCAAGAAGTAACAAAGATGGAGATAGGACAGAACAAAGGTACCTGGGTTGTACAAACATCTCCCTGTTGTTCTTAAGGGTCACATGGAATCTTTTGCACACAATTCATGTTTCTGTCTTCTTTTTCTTGGTCCAAGATGGTTTTAATTTTATCCAAATATTTGGTTTCACATTTGAAACTCTCAACTCGTCAAGTTGAATGCCAATTCCAGCACACTAACTTCAGTCCAGGAATGTTCAGGGTTCTCTCTCTTTATTATGACTTCACCCATCTCTCAGGTACTGGACAATTTTATGTCTCTTCCTTTTTATCCTCTCTCTTCGAGAACCAATTCAAAATGTGACCTCCCTTTACCTTGTATGTCCTCAAGTAACCTTGTATTCATTATGCTGGTGATTCCAGGAAGTGATTCTCACCTCCAAGAAGGAAGAATTAAGGAGATTAGAAAGTTCTAGAAGGTAGAAAGAACAAACAACAGGGAAAATTGTAAGAACAAAAGACAAGAACAGATAATATGGTGTATAGCCACAATATCATAATTGGTCAATGCCAATATACTAATGGTTTGAAAATTTGTTATAAATGTCACTTTGATAGTATAGTGCAGAGATACCAACCACTATAGATTTTTGTGGTTTCTATGGAAATCATGTGTAAATTAGTCTTATGGATACTGTCTAAAACTATGAAACAATCTTTTACACTCTTGAATCCAGCATGTGTAGTTGTTAGTCAGAATTTTGTCTATATAGAATAACCAGTATGCTGAATCTCAAATCAGTTAGCACATTCATACCAATGATATGGAATATACTGTGTAGACAGTGAGTTCTTTGAGTTTGCAAGTAGCTAGCTAAGGGTTTATCTAAAAATTGTTCTTGTGTAAAATTGAGTTGCATGGTTGTGATAAAACCTGTCAAAAAATGACTTTCACTTGTGTCTAAAAATGATGCATACTCTTTTGACATTACAATCAAACAGTCCAAAAAAGCTCAAGTGAAAAGACCATGTGTATGTAGATAAAAAGATGAATTCTGTCAATTATATAAATTTTATTTTATTGAATGAAAAATAAATTCAAATTAATTTAAAAAATCTATTATAAAATAACTTATTAATAAATATTCAAAATTTTAAAAACTTTACAGTAATATGGATTTTTTTATTTATATATCAATACTTAATTACTTGATATAAGCAAATACATTGACGCGTTGTACAGTACTTCAAATTTAATTCATTCCTGGAGACCATTTGGAGTCTGAATCAATTTTTTTTAATAGAAATAATGGAAATTGAATTAATCTATTTCCAGACCCTAAACCAGGGCCAACAGTTTTTGCCCCTTGGCCGAATTGGAAAGAAAACTTTTTTCATGGGCCAAACCAGAGGCTGCCCTAGGAAGATTTTGAGGTGGTTTGAGATCTCATTGTGGTGTCACCCCATAGAGACTAAAGTGTACATAGAGATTACAGATACATTTTTTACATTATCGTGCTTTATCAACATTTTACAACGCTGTACTTTAGAGATTTGTAATGGAGGGTTAACTCTAAATGCACAGTGAGTTGTTGACCTTTTTTCTTTTAGGCATCAGAATTTTTCATTGAGCTATTCATACTTGAGTAGCTGATATTGAAAGTTTAATCACAGGCCAAATAAATTCATTAGATGGGCCAGATCTGGCCCGTAGGCCATATGTTGCCATGCCTGCCCTAAACAGTATCTATTTTGATAAATTTAAAACAGCAAATACACATAACTTAAGATAAAAAAAATACACAATTAAATGCTCTAATAATAAATTAAAACACAAAAATAACAAACAAAATATGTAAATACTGTATAATAAAATGAAAATTGCATTTATTGGTCGCACACTATCACATTATTGACTCGGCATCTTAAACATGGCTGCCAGAACTGCCACATACATACTACTTTCATGCTTCGTGATAAGTTTTTTTTTTTTTTATCTCAGTCATTAAAATTACAACATTCCTTGTAGACTTCTTTGCTTCTACATACTTATTGGATGCCATGGTTAATAGGTACAGGTTATATTGGGTTGAACAGATAGTTTTTTGCATATTTTTAACAGCTGCCATTACTTAATATAGATGTGTGATTTAATTATAACAGTTGTGAAATTTAACACATTATTAAAATTAAAAATTGGCTGATAGTATGTAGTACATTAATATATAATAAATAAATATATTGAAGATACAAAATTGTCTTTATTTTCTGTGATTTACAAATCACCCAAATTGGACTGTCATTAGTGATTTATAAAGAATTGAAAATGAGTACAATTTTGTACCTTTAATGTATTTATTTTTTATATTTTAACACATTAGTAATAATGTAAGATTTATTCTTTGGTTAGAAGCATATTTTAAACTTTTTACTTTACATTTTGTTTGAATAAAAACAAGTTGAAATGTCTTCAGATAAAAAGTGTATCTGACACTTTATGAATTTTGGAAAGGATATAATGCTATACAAACAATAAAAAATTTCATGTGTATATGGGGATGATGCTTCTAAACTTTGAACATGTCAAATGGGTTTTTTAAGTTCTGTTCAGGAAATTTTGAACTAAAAGATATAAAACATATGGGGTGCACAAAAGTTGTTGACAAAGAAAAACTGCAGGAAGAAATTGTTAAAAAATTGACAAATAACATGTAATATCACCAAACACCAAAAATAAAGTGAAAAAAGCACTGAAAACATATGAGCATAATGCAACAGCAAGAGTGAGATACAACTTGGATGCACAAGAGATCATGTTTACACTTTGAGTGCATTTTTTTCACTGTACACTCAGTTTGAAATTTGAAGAACTTTGAATGAGATTTTGTCAAATTTAGCATTTGGAGTTAGAGTTATTCAAAGTATGAGGTACCACAGTATATAAATATCTTAAAATTGGTTGCAAACACAGTTAAAAAATGTTCACTGGTGATAAATCCAATAATTAAAAAATATACATTATTTCAGTTAAAAATGACAGATGATATTATAAACTTTATAAAAAATATATACATTGAAGAATATTAAAACATTGTCACATATTGCCAATGAATATTTTTTAACTGTAATTTTGCAGATGCATAGCCTCTCATAATAGGTCATCTCTGTGAAGCAAGACTGTTTGGTTCTTGGTGATTGGACAAGATGGTTATGTGAAGAGATTGTAGTATTCTTCAATATATATATATTTTCATAAAGTATATAATACCATTTCTCATTTTTAATTGAAAGGAACTGATTTTCTGGAAACAATATCAATTTCCTGTTTATCATTCAGTAAATTATATCTAATTTCTTCTGCAGAACTAACATCCATATTCTTAAGTCCATTTTAGCATCTACAAAAATATTTGTGGAATTTATTATGAAGTTTTGTAATTCTATCATCGATATCATACAATTATCTATGTAAAATAATTTTATAAGCTCTTCCATGAGAAATTTCCAATCTTCAGTAACATTTAAAAGGTGATAATGGATTACTGCTCTTAATAAGAATGGCTGCTTATCATTCCAAAGACTACTCTTTTATGATGAAAGACTTGTATTTTATCTTCCTTATTCCACCATAAAAATCTCAAATACAGTAGAGCATCGATTATCCGACTCAATTGGGGACTCAGGTTGGTCGGATAACTGAAAAAATTGGATAACCGAAAAGAAGGAAAAAATACATTATTAGTATAGTATATTACAGGGGTGGCCAACCTGCGGCTTGCAAGCCACATGCGGCTCTTTGAAGGATTATTTGTGGCTCTCGATAAATGTACCCGAGTTCCCTTTTCATTTTTGTGTTATTATATTTTAAAAAATTATTATCGTTCCGTATGTGTTTCAAAATGTCTTTTAAATTACTAACAGCAAATATGAAAGACTAAGTGCAACGTTGTAACAAATTTTATTTCCGTCCAAGTTAAGAATGATATGACTCATCGAAAACTGTGCGAACGAACATAAACAGTGGCGTAATCGTCCGTTATCGACCGACTCCAGACCGACTTTGAATTTGTAAACTGTCATTGCAACGGACAGTTGACATTGTGCTCTGGAGGAAACAATTTGTATCACTCTTGCTACGGATATAATTTGTAATCTGGAATTTTTGTGTACCTTTTTAATACGTATTTAATTGCGGCTTGCGAAAAATTTCAATTTTGAAAAATGGCTCGGACTATCAAGGAGCTTGGCCACCCTGGGTAT